GCGCGCCAGAAAAATCCCTCCGCCGCGCCCCATTCTTTCCGTTTGTTACCTCACGTTACGCAAAAGAGTCCCGCGAGATCCGTTATCAACTTCGGGGGCCCCAGAAGAAACTGCCCTGGCGCACAGATGAGACTGAATGGGGAGACCCGGGTCTCCAAGTGCCTATTGGATTGTTCTACAAGTGCGTAGGTTGTCGACCAAAGATGGGCCTTCACTTGGCGGAAGAATCTCACAGGAAAGGGCGAGGGCGGCCGACCGGCGGGGGGGCGGGGGTAGGGACGTGCGGTTTCAGGCGTACTCAGCCGGGGGCGGAGCTGCCGAGCCGCTTTGTGCGCAGGCGCCTCGCAGCGGGCGCTGGCGCTGGGGCTGCTGGGTGAAATGGCCGCGGGAGGCGCAGGCGCACGTGGTGTGGATCGTGAACGTCTAAGTCCGCCATTTTGAAGGAGAGATGAAGAAAGGCATGGAGCCATCGGGGTAGGACGTTCCTTGTCTGTGTGGAGCGTGAGAGGCCGCCCAGTGCACCGTGGAATGAGGTTTTCTAACGTAAAGGCAGGGCTGGGAAGTTATTGAGAGACCAGGAAGTTGAAAGAGTAGATGAAGGCCATGATGATGCAAGAAGAAATGCAGGAGAGAAGGTGGTTTGAAGGACAAAGGAGATGAAAGGTGCCTGTGTTGAAAGGACCACCGATGTTTGGGCGAAATGAAGAAGAAATGGAATGGAAGAACTGAAGACTTCTTTATAAAGGCTGGGGCTAGATGAGTAGTCACACTTAATTCTTAAAATAATGACTGAAGAATCCATGTTCCCAATTTTACAAGTGTGAAAATGGGAAATCAGGAGGAAAAAAATCAGAACTATTTTAAGGAACTGTAAGATGCAAATTAACTCCACAAGTTCGTCTTGGATACATGTGTTCTAAATATGTGACTTTTAAGTTTTTGAAGTTAATGATAAAACTGAAGAATTAAATGAGATTTAAAGTTTGCAGACCATTTAAGGAGAGGATGTAGCAAAGAAAACCTGTCCAATCAACAAGGCCAAAATGGAAACAAGAAAAGCAAAAGAAACCAGAATATGCTAACATAAAATAAAATTAGAACCTTAAATCTAAACTGTGTGTACAATAAGTATAAATGGGTTAATTTTAATATAAAAAGATATTTTTTCATTAAGAACAAAATCCAGCTATAAATTGACAAGAAAATTCTTAAAACATAAGAAGTTTGAAAATATTAGGCTAAGGGGCGGGGATTGTGGCTCAGTGGTAGAGGGCTCACCTAGCATGCAGGAGGCACTGGGTTTGATCCTCAGCACCATATAAATGTAAAATAAAGATACTGAAAAAAAAAAAAAATATATATATATATATATATACACTAGGCTAACATTTTTATGTGTGATATGTGTGTGTATGTGTATACACATACACATATATTTAGTTGTAAATGGACACAATACCTTTATTTGATTAATTTATATTTATGTGGTGCTGGGAATCAAATTCAGTGCTTCCATGTGCTAGACAGGTGCTCTATCGCTGAAGCACAACCCCAGCTAGGCTAATGTTTTTTAACCCAAAACGTGATCAGACAAAAGCAATGTAATACTATTAATATATAGTCACAAGTCACAATGAGGGGATAGTTCTGAGAAATACATAATTCATTTCATCATTATGCTAACATCATAGAGTATACATACAAAAGCTAAGATGACTACAATATCACAAGTGATAAGGTCAAAAATGACCTACCATTGTCTGTAATGCTATTATACAGCAAAGGCATAAAGAGAAAGGATGTTGTCTTAATAAAGGATGGAGTCCATGAAGATAACATGCACTCCAGAAATTATAATGAATGAAAACATGGACTAGCCTGAACTAACAGCATGAAAAAATTTTGTACCAGGAGAAGATTTTAACCGTTTGTAATGACATCTTGGATGCAATTCCTTTATTTTACTAATTTATTTTTAATGTGGTGCTGAGGATAGAACCCAGTGCCTCACACATGCTAAGAAGTGCGCTATGACTGAGCTATAACCTCAGCCCTTATAGGCATCTTAGATACATTAAAAAGAAGTGATGGTATGGAATACCTAGATTATATTATTAACTCTATTTGAAAAACAATTGCTAAGGAATGAGTTCTACCAAACCTCAAGGAACATATTTCCTACATTTTATTCATGGTTCCAGAGCTTATAAAAGATGGAAAACCATTCAATGCTTTCAATAGAACTTGCAAGAAACCATTACCAAATCTGAAGTAGAAGACAAGAAAGAAAAACTATGGCTCAACTACACTTGAGATCATGGATGAAAATTTCTTATATAAAATATGAATAAACAATCCCTAGCATACTTTTACATAGTCACGATGATTGCTTGGGAGTATTAGATGAATACAAAATTACTTGAAGATTTTTTAAAATTAGCTATAATTCACTGCAGTGACTAAAAGAAAAAAAGGAAAAATGGTATGCTCCTTTAGTAGATGCTAAATAGGACATGTACTCACATTGAACACCTGTAAATGACCTGAAAAGCACTTCAAAATAGCTAGAAAACTAGAAATGTAAAAAGCACACACTTACATTGAATACTCAATCATGATCTTAAAACAATTTTTTAACTTCATAGAATCCTAGGAATATAAGATTTATCATAAACATGCATAAACACACACATACACATGATCTAGAAGACATCTACAAACTTGCTCATCTCACCATTGTTTGTGGTTGTGAAAAAAATGGAAATAATCTAAATGTACTTCAGTTGGGAATGCTAGAGCTTGGCTCCATACTTATTGTTTTTTCTGGTGAGGAAACTTAAAATCTACTTTTAGCAATTTAAAAAATTTTTTTAGTTGTAGTTGGACACAATACCTTTATTTTACTTATTTATTTTTATGTGATGCTAAGGATCGAACCCAGCACTTTGCACATGCTAGGTGAGTGCTCTACCGCTGAGCCACAACCCCAGCTCCTTTTATTTATTTATTTATTTTTGATAGTTGGACACAATACTTTTTTTATTTATTTATTTATACTCTTAGCAATTTTCAAACATAATTTATTGTTATTAATTGCAGTCACCATAATTTACAGTAAATCTCTTGAACTTGCTCCATCCACGTGAAGTTTTTGTATCCTTTGACCTACAGCTGACCAATCTCTCCCCATCCTGTTATTCTCATTTGTTTAAGGTTAATGTGTTCATATACTTTTTGAAATTTAATTTTTAACTTTTATTAGTGGCCTCTACTACATTAGCAGGTTAAGAGAGAAAATACATATAATTATCTCAGTAAATGCACAAAACCCATTTGATAAAGCTTCACTTCCATTTTTTATAAAAACGAATAGAAGAAACTTCCATAGCTTGGTAAAGAACCTGCTGGGAGTAGACTGAAACAACATACTTGACTTTTAAATTTTAGGAGGATTCCCACTAAAGTCAGGAGCACCACAAGGATGCTATGTGTGTTATCACTTCCAGTCAAGTTGCAAAAGAGGTTAATCACTAATAAGACAATAAAATAATATAAACATTAGGATGGAAGAAAAAGCTACATGATTTGTAAACAATTGTTAGAATTTTAATACAAAAATCAAGAAGATGTAAAATAAAAGATCAACAAGTCAAAAGAATTTTTATTCTTTAACAATTAGCATATGTTAGAAAAAAAGAAAAGATTAATGATTCAAGCTACAGAATACCTAAAAATAAACATCACATGAAGTGAACAAAATTGTCAGACTTTACTAACATATAAAAGACTTAAAAATGTTATCTTCTTATATGACTTGATAAAGATGTCACTCCAAATTTAACAAGGAAGGAGTAAAAAAGACGAAGACAGAGTTAAGAGTATACAAAAACACACCCATATATGTGTGAAAACTTAAATTAAAATTTAATACTATGATTAACATAGCATTTCAAGTGAGTGCTAATAATAAACTATTTAGTACATGCTTTGGGGTGTTTTGATTACAATGAACCCAGCCTAATTTCATCACAAGATTTGGAGCGTTCTCATCAAAAAGTCATAAGTTAATTTCTGTTTTACTATAAATTACTGCGATTTCTAAACTTGTTTGGAATTCCTGCCTGTGCCTTGAACTCACTCATGCCTAGCTTTCCCTGACCAGATAACAACCCTCTCTAAAACCTTAGTGGTACCTCATAAATCCTGACTCCCCCTGACCAGATAATAACCAGCTCTGAAACCTCAGTGGCACCTCAAATTCTTATCTGAATTTACTCCCTCCCTTGAAATGTTAAGCCATGTAGATCATTAACATGCCATCTGCTTATGTATTATGTTTGTCAAAATCCTGTTATTTGTAAGTATTTAAGACACCCCACTTTGCAAGTTTTTGTGTATAAAACCTTGTTCCTGAAAAGCTGGGAGGCTGGTCTCTAGCCCACATTAGGGGAAACAGCCGCTGATCAGCTCTCTGTGTACACAAATACAAGCTTACTTTAATTTGATTTAAAATTGGAGTCAGTGGTCTTCTCTTTGTATCGGGGTTCAACAGTTATTCATTAGGAAGAAATAAAGCCAGATTCCTCTATCAGCTTTCACTAAAATAAATTCCATGTACAGCAAAGAACTAAATACTTTAAAATCTCCCACCTCTTTCTCTTTCCCTCCCTCTCCCTGAATCTTTCAATCCTCAGGCCACTGGGCAGGCAGAACAAGTTAGATTTCCACGTGGAGAGGCTGGCCAGCATGGAATATTGGAGCCACTGGGTGGTGAGGGCAGCCACAAAGGGGCGGCCAGTGTGGTGTGTCCGTGCATCAACAGGGTTAAGAGGCTGTTGATGCAGGGGAAGGACAGCATCAGGCAAACAGGGAGCATTTCCATGGGGAAGGGTGTCCTGGTGTGGAATGTCACCAAGGAGCTAAGGAGGGCATTCAGGCGGGGACCAGCAATAGGCCTTGAAAGGAATCAGGAATATCTTAGAAGCAAGATGAGAACCAGGAGAAAAATATCCTGCAAACAAACCAGAAAGAATTTCAACCTGGAGGATGCTCATCAAGGCCAGAGGAGGCGACACTGTCAAGATGGGGATATTGATACTATCGGAAATTGTATCTTAGGCTGTAGTTATGGTCAGAAATCCCTTCTATTGGTTAGTAAAAGTCACCATCCAAGTCCAGCCACGCATCGCCAACAAGGTCCCCCTGCTCACCAGCCAGAGGACTCTGTCTCCCAGGGACGGCAGAGCCTCCACAC